TCCACCACGAGCAAACCTTCACTAACAGACTTTACACCGCACCACCAAGACACGATACACCGCAACTGCACATTCAAGCAAGAGGAGGAGCACAAAGGACTCACATCCCTCAAACGAACTCACATATCGCCCACTGCCACACAAGCAACAAAACAGACATTCCAACAATTAACGAGCGAAGCATAACAGCACTGGATCCGAGCACGTAAATCTCATAGCTAAGAAGACAAGTCCCAGCACTAGCGCCCCAATTTGTGTTACAGGGGTGGCCCACCTCACAAGTATGCGCGTTTAGTAAACAGTCTCAACTTACGCAGGCGCAACCAAGGCAACTCTCCGAGGATAAAAAAAAGATAAGCCTACAAATCTTGCGTTCATTTACGCAGTGAGAATACAGGCACCGCCGACGGCCTTAATCCTCTCCTCTGCACGCCTTGAGAAGAATCGCGCCTTTACGATAACGGGAACTTTCGGAAGGACACCCTTACCCAAAACTTTGAAGTATCCCTAAGAAAGAATGTATGCAAAACTCAATGACATTTACCTTTCGAACGCAATCAATGACGGGCGCCTTCCCATCCTTAGAGTTCTTGTACTTCTCATAGGTAGCGTCAGAAACAAGAGACCACAGTTTGTCCAGATTTATAGTCGGACAATAGTGTGGATTACGCTTTAAATGGTAATGCGGCATCCCGATTTTCCCAAAGTAACCCGGATGATACTTGTTAAAGTTAATGCGGTGATGATGCTCGCCACCAGCATTGCCTCGACCACCGGGATGCTTCCTGTGCTTGCCAACGCGGCCCATACCATGGCTAACATGACCTCTCAGCTTCCTGGTCTTTTTGGCTTTTATCTTAGACTAGAACGAACAGAGAATGACAGAAAAGCATGCACTACCATAGGGAACACCAGAGTAGTGATGCGCCGATCGACCTCACGCCGTTATAAACAATGTTCATTTGGCAAATTATCATTGATTCATTAAACTTAATGTGACAAAGTTTCTAAGTTTTCACTGTGCTCAAAAGCTTTTATCTTTGGGAATGCCAACTAATACGTCTCGAAGTAAACTTGATTAATGATAGTCAGTTAATAATACAATTTTATTTAACCCCAAACATAATCGGAGTGCCACTTCGCAAGCTTCCATTACCCAAAGATAGTGAGATACGCTGCACTACAGTCCCACCCTTAATGCATGTTAAGTAAACGTATTTGTGTGTATGTGCTCTGTCAACTAGCCTGGACGATTTCGCTCTAAGGTATCTGTAGCGGCCCGAGGCTTCCCACCGGGGGGAAGAAGGCAGCAAGCGCAGTTAAATGCATGTAAAATTAGCATTTGGCTTGCATACTCAGGTGCCCAATATAGCTCATGTAAGTAGGCGGCCTTCTGAGGGTGCAACAGAAAGGAGTCGAAAGGCAGATATGAGGAGAATTCATTTAATTTTCCTAGGCTCCTCCCAAGGAGGAAAAACCCATGTTCATTCGCCTAAAAAGTACCACAGGAATGGTCACAGATCCAATTTACCTGAAGAAAATGCAGGGGCTTAGATGCAAAATTACCGCTCTCCAGAAGCGGTAACCAAATGAAAAAGCAACACGTTGCAAAACCCTTCTTCCCGGCTCTCTGCTTTGCCAACCACCTCCTATCAGCCTCCACAATGTAATCGGTGCTGCAAGGAAACGCGCATGAGTAACTGAGGTGACACTTGACCCAAACGGCACTGACACACATTAGCAATCGCACTCGATCTGTGGCTTCCTCCCGTATGGGAATTGTATTTGCAGAAGGGATTGTGGTGATCATCCTGTATGCCCACAGCTAGTGGTGGAAACACCGGTCCAAATTCAGCTGCCTATAATACGCAATACTGTCTGTTTGACTGTCGGCGTCGGGAGCAGTGGCTTGGGTGACCGTATTGCTTCTGCCTAGTGGGTCGACCTCAGGGCTACGCTAAACGCCCGACCCTCCTCCGTGACTATGCACCAAACCCAAGTACTCTGTCTTTTCGTGCCTACAAGGAAGTCCTAGGACACTTCCATTCCCCTCTACCAACTTCGCCTCTATTCATAGATGCCCAACTGAGTCCAACCAGTAGAGCAGTGAAGCATGTGCCTCACACCCACATGATTGACCTCAATGTGTGCATACTGTAGGTGACTTCGTAAAAATTCTCCCCAATGCTCAGAGATAGTGCCGTCCTCTCTGTTGGTACTTCTCCCAAGGACCAAGTAGTCAAGGCAGTTAATAGGAGGCGACATCATTTCCAGCTCTTCCATGGAGAAGTCAGTGTCACCCATTTCCGCATCGGTAGTCCATGAACTGCTTCCACTCTGCTGAAGTTGATCCCTTGGCAGTAGAAATTAGGACGAACCCTATAAGACTGCGTGTAACACCTTGCCTATATGGACACCTGCTGTCTGGCGGTTACCTTCAGATCCCTCTGACCCTTGTACATGTGGGCCGACATTCGAACCAGGCTCAGGGCTAATCCATTTTCTCTTCCAAGTTTACGCGTATTCAGTCCAACCTCATACTTTCTTCCACCAGAAGGGAAGACTTAGGACTCTTTGCTGCGCCTGCTTTTCACTGTCACCAATGTATCGCCTCAGGGGTCCCCCAACAAGAGGAAAAATGTGTGATTCCCGAGCA